CAGAAGTTTGTTTAAAGCAAAGATGTGAATTTTAAACACGCATGACAAAAATAAATAAATGGCTCTGGCAACCAAACAGCTAAAAGGTACAGTATCTGCATTGCTTGCTTCATTGCCCACTGTGAATCATTTAACACCTTTCAAACCAAATCTACCAGGATCCAGATGTGGTGGCTAGCTACAGTCCACTTTTTAGTTTTCCATATCTGGAGAGTTATTAAAAGGCTTTTGCAATCCAACTACATGCCAAACTCTCAGGCAACTGCATCTGTCACTGCCACCAATGTGGCCAAAAAAAACCCAAAACATACCATTCAATGACCCTCAGCGAGTATTCAATGGCCCTACTTCTGGCAAGGGACAAGGAAGTAAGTGGGAAATCATAATCCCTTTTAGATCATTGTGCAGCCTTTAATATAGCGGGGCATAAAAAAGGGAATAGCTAGGTTAAAGGATTTGTGCGGGACCGACTGCAAATAATAGATGACAGAGACCATCTTTAAGTTATTTCTCCATATCAGAGTCATTTACATAAAGCATCTATATCAGCTTTCTACCCTATCTGCCATGTTATTTGAAGTATTCATGCTGCCACCAGGCAACACATTTAAGTCATGGCCTGTCTTACTACTGCAACAGTCATATATGGTTGTATTTATGCATTAAACCTAGTATTAGACCCACCATTAACCATACATTTCTGCCTCATCGAGCCACTGGGAATTAAAGCTAGATTTTCAAGTTAATTGGGAAAAGAATAAAAAAAAAGGAAACAAAATGGCAGTATCCACAAACATCTCAGACCCAAGAACAGCATGGGTGAAGCACGTAACCCTGCATGTTGGCACAGCTATACAAATTACAAATTGAGAGACAAAACCAGCACAAAACTGCTTTCCTAGTACCCAAGTCCATTCATTCTTCCTCCTGTCCATGTTACTAAATGTCCAAACCTCTGCGCGGACAGGATGCAATCTCCAAAGCAAAAAATCATAAATTACAAACTCTTTTCTTTTATGAAGTAGTGTACATGTATTTTAAAAGGTGGACTTTACTGATAACTTGTGGAACTGAGCCTTGTGGTAACCACTACAGACATGGAGATAAATGGAGGCCATCTGACAGCTGCTGAAGGCTGACAAGTTGATGCAGGGGAGCAGCTGTGAAGATCTGTATGAACACCCATGATTCCATTTGAGGAAAGCAGCAAGAAATACTTTATATATCTCAATTATCAGCCAATGCTGGATTACTGTAAACCCCTCAGACAAGTATTTAATCTAAAAGAATATACAACTAGTCCTATATGTGACTATAAAATTATATTTTATGCACTGTGTATAACCAAGTTAATATAAAACTCTTAACTCAAAACAAAATAAGCACCATAACATAAAACAGAGATTAAAAAAGTTTTAAAGTTTAAAGCCATAGTGTAAAATGCATTGTCAGTTTTTAACACCGTAAATCAAACATGAAAAAACACATGAGCAAAAAAAAATTTAAGATGTATATCAAACTCCTGGAGTAGTTGAAAAGCATACTGAAGAGGAAAGCTTGCTGTGCCAGGATCAAGCTCCTCCTGACCTTACCTGCTACTCTTGCTCTCAATCTCAACAGTTCCTGCAAAGTCGCCACACCGACAAGCTTTTCCTCTGTATCCCTTTCCTATTTGTCTATGATTTAACCACTATGTGTGCTCTGTGCTACCCTCTTCATGAACCATACTATGCTGTGTACTTAAAGTGACATTAAACTAGAGCTGCAGCTAACGATTATTTTCATAATCGATTAGTTAGCCGATTATTAAGTTCGATTAATCGATTTTAAAAAAAAAAGTCTCCAGTGATGGACTACTAGTTTGTATTGAGATTGTAGTCCATCACGGGAGCAAGCTTGGAGCGGTGGAAGTAAAAAAAAAAAAGTGTGGTGTGCAATATAGTATAGCCGCGTGTAGAGCCCCGAACAGGGAAATCAATTGATAGCCGACGAACCGACGATCGAAAACGTTGGTAACATTTTCAATCGTCGATTTTAATCGACTAAATCGATTAACTGTTGCAGCTCTACATTAAACCCTCAGATTTTTTAACATAAACCAATACTGTAATGTGTGCCTTACTGTAATCTATGGTAGTTTCCCTTCTCTTTGCTGCTCTTCCTTTTAAATCCTCATGTCTTCTCATACTTGGGGAGAACTTCCCTTTGCAGCTGAGTGCCTCTTCCTTTAGTGCTGGCTCAGGTTGTGAACCTTCACACAGACACCATGTATCCATTTCAGAGACAAGGCAGTCTGCTGCAAAACAGAAGTTCTGCCCAGCATGAGAAGAGATACAGATTTAAAAGGAAGAGCAGCAAAGAGAAGGGAAACAACCATGGATTGGAATCCTGCAGGTAAAAAGTGCTTTATAAAACGTTGTTATATATTCCGTCTGGTATTATTCAATATAGCAATTCATTAGGTGCAACTGGCTTCAGTTGGTGCATATTAAGAGATTTTTAAGCAAATGAGGATTTAGACTGTAATCTGGCAAATGTGTTGTAAAAGTCTGACTACGTCTGTAATAAAAAGGTTAAAAAAAAGTAATAAGATAAAAACCCAAAAAAGGAAGGAAAGTGTTACTCATTAAACTGAAATACTCACCCACATAATATGGAGTGTAACATGGTGTTGCCAAAGAGTTATGTGATGTTGTTTCTTTAGCAAATCCAAAATCTGTGAGCTTTAGCACAGTATTTGGTCTTTTGGATGTGTATAAAAGATTTTCTGGCTGCAGGAAACAGAAAAAAAAGGTATCACCCTTTAGCAAGCATTCTCGAAGATATGAGCGTATTCCTTTTGTAAATCTATGTAAAGTACACTTTAAAAAGTCTTTAAAACAACAGAAAAAGATAACACTTCAACCATCTAAAATCCCAAAAAGTTTTCTTTAGGAAGAAAGAGGGGAAAAAAGCCATTGTTTTGCCCCCAAACGCAGTGCTTGTGTAAAAGCCCAAACAGCCAGCACTCCTCCATATAAAAGATCTTTATTAACACCTAAAGCTGAAAGAAGGGTATCCCCAGTTGACACATTTCAGCAAAATGCCAAAATCAAGGAAGGGAAATCGGAAAACTTTGCATGGGTTGGTGGGAGAAGTTCCACATTTGTAGGTAGAAATTTGTTTTCCAGCGATATTTAGTGGTAGTGTTTGTGACCAGTTTCCTGTAACATTTTCCTGTTTTACATGTGGACCAACAGCTCTTTGCCGTTTCATGTGGGGGCTATAGGTTCTCATGCAGAAAAGCTCCTACTCTGAAGTCTTTACTTTCTTCTCGTCTCTTTCAGACCAATAGAGACAGGTCTTCTGCCTGGATAACCCTGAAGGGTTCTTTTAAATGTGCGTTTCATACCTGTAAGTATTGTGTGGTCCATCAAAAAAGCAATACTACAAATGTAGTTTATGTCACTGCATGCATCAAGGGTGAAACTCAGTATGTGGGTTGCACAGGAAGACTGAGGAAGATTAGAATAGCGGAACATTATTGTGCAGTCTCGGTTTACCTCCTTAACCAGACAGACAAATGTTCCCAACCACTACCAAATTGCTCATGGGAGGCGACAGGTCTGCTTTTTCTTCCAGAAAATTGAAAAAAAGGGGCTTAGGAGGAGCTCTATGCAGGCTTTTGCTTCGTCAAGAGGCAACATGGATTTTTAAGTATCAAATAAGGATACCTAAATTTGTAAATCTAAATCCAAACGATAATTGTGTTTTTTTTTTAATCTTGAGGGCGTCCCTCTTGTACACCGTGATTACATTTTGTTGTTATAATAACCTATAGTATCATTATAAAATGCTATTTTGTTAATTTTTGTATTTTATATATTTTTTCTATAAATTGTTGGCATAAGATTGTGGTTTCCTACCTGTAAAATATCTGGTCCACGTTTTCTGGTTATCCCTCCTGTGATTTTGGGAGGTATTTAAGGGAGTTAAAGTGACAGTAAACTCAAGAGTTAAATCTTAAAATACATTCAAGTACTCTTCTAACAAAAATTAATCTTATTTGTGTATCACTCGGCTGAAGATCCTCAAAATCATCTCTGAATTGGTACCGACACCGCCCTTCCTTCTGGAGGGTGGCTACTTTTGTTCCCCATGTGTGTTGTAAAGTAGCCACTGCTCCAAGTTCACTCCTGTGATGGACTACAATCTCAATACAAATTAGTAAACTAAATGTGAGACTTTAGTCCACCATGGCAGTGAGTTTGAAGCTGTGGCTACCATGGGGAACAAAAGTAGCCACCCTCCAGAAGGAAGGACAGTGTCAGTATGAATACAGAAATGATTTGAGGATCTACAAATAAGATACATTTTTGTTAAAAGTTAAGGTACTTGAATGCATTTTAAAGATTTAACTCCTGAGTTTAGTGTCACTTTAATGGACTAGAGGCTTTGGCTACAACCAAGGCCAGGATTGGCTGAGATGTGTCAGCTGGGGATAATCTTGTTTTAGCTTGGCATGTGTTAATAAAGATCTTTTATATGTGGACAAAGTGCTGGCTATCTGGACTTCTACTACATGGATGCAATCTGAGAGGCACACTGGCTGCTGAGGATAGGGCAATAATTACCTAGCAAGGTGAACTCATCTCATGCTGTTTGCAGTGCCTGTGTAAATTGCACAGTCTCAAATATTTACCCTGAACTATGATCAACAAAGCCATCCGAGTGCAAGGATTTCAAATAAGTGATAACAGATGTATTTATTGTCTTTTGTCCGCGATTTTGTCTTTAAAGAGACACTCTTACCTTGCCCATGCAAGACAAAGTAACAGTGGGTCTCTGCAAAACCCCCATCTAATCCATCCAGACCCTCCCCCTCAGCCACAATCCACATACACCTACATTACAAACAATCTCTCCTTCTACCCTAGTCATGATACAATGCTTGAGCCATTGCCTCTTAGACCTGAGCATTGTCACAGGGGAGAAAATCCCATGCTCTTCCAAACCCAAAAGTGCCCGGTATTGCTGATGGCTGCAGAGGAGGAAGGAGCAGCAAGGAAGCACTGTTAAGGAGAGTATAAGGGGAGTCGTGGGGGCCCCTTTACAAAGTGTTGCTTTCCCCTGAATGGACAAGGTGGCAGTGTCTCTAAGGCAAATGTTTGCCCAGTCCTAGCAATATATACCCACCACTTTGTTCCCCCGCTACTCCATTCAGCTGCTAGAAATGAAGGATACGTGGTACTTCTAGATACAGAGGAACATGTGAGAGTTGGTGCTTGGTGATGAGACAGGGATGGGGGGCTGCTCAAACAGAAGTAACTTAGCATACACAGGGATGCTTTCCTTACCTCCTGGCGGCTGAAAAAAGAAGCGAGGAACCAAAAAGGACAGTTAAGTATTAATCTGATCCTGTTGCTTTGCGCTACATGGGCAAAAAGCATATGTTCGTGTAAAATTAACAACCATTTTTCCATCCCCAAGTTACTTTGCTCCTTGCAAGGACACACGGGGTAAGGGACAGGGCACAGCCGTCTCTGCCTCTAGAGAGGCAGAGCCAGCTGTCAATCAGGCAGTAGGATGGATCCCAACAATATTGGCACGATCTTTCACGGCTGCAGCGCGGCTCTGCGCTTTCAGCATATAGCGGGCAACAGCCTGCTATATGCTGAGTTTTGGGTCACAGGAGGACATTAGTAATTGTACTCCTGTGATCCTAAAGAGAACTACGGCCAAGAAAGGTTTGGCCTTAGTTCTCTTTTAGTTATACTGAAGGGAAAAACGCATCAAAAACACATTGCAGCAAAAGAAAGATGTAGAGCTGTAAATGGACCCTAAACTGTGAAACTGCCAGGAACGCCCCTACCCCATCCTGGGCTAAAAATAGTATTAGCAAAAGTATTTTGCCCAAGTACAGTGCACGATCAAAAGTTGACCATACTCAGGCAATCCATACTCAGGCAATCCATACTCAGGCAATCCATACTCAGGCAATCCATACTCAGGCAATCCATACTCAGGCAATCCATACTCAGGCAATCCATACTCAGGCAATCCATACTCAGGCAATCCATACTCAGGCAATCCATACTCAGGCAATTCATACTCAGGCAATCCATACTCAGGCAATCCATACTCAGGCAATTCATACTCAGGCAATCCATACTCAGGCAATCCATACTCAGGCAATCCATACTCAGGCAATCCTTAAAAGCATCAAGATTACAAGGCAAATTTCAATATACCACCTACATTTTTAGTAAGATAGAGACCCCCAGTACTGCAGCACATACCTTTACATCTCTGTGGGCAATATTGATTGCATGTAAATATTGTATGGCCTCTCCGATGCTTTTCATGATATCAGAAGCCTCTGAAAAAAAGAGGCAAAATAGCAATAATATATGGAAGCTGTTATCAGTGACATAAATTGGTTGTACATTTTTCTATTGAAGACTTCTTTACACTTTAAAAAAAATCTGAAAATGGAGATTCTAACTCCCATTATGACGGTGCAACAATTTAAAGTGTATGTTCACCCTATACTTTTTAATACTGGAAAGACAATTATAGCATTAAAAGCAATACCAGGCTTTTACCACTAGCTGGGGCTTGCTCCTAGCAATTTCCTTTCACTTCCTATCTGGTGAAACGGCCATTACCGTGAGATAGGGACACAGAGACTATCAATAGAAAGCCATAAATGGGGTAAAGGAGAACTATGGGGGTCAGGGCTTTTCCCCATAGTTCTCCTAAGGGTCATGGGAGGACACAAACTAGCGTTCTCCCGTGACCCAAAGCTCAGTATACTGCGAGCTATACTGAGACGCCGCAGCCGGGGCGGATACAGACAATACTGTCTGGATCCACCCAGCTGCGTGACTGACAGCTGGCTCTGCCTATCTAGATGCAGAGCAAGCTTTGCCCGCCCCCTCCCCCGTCCGTTTCACCAGTCAGCGCTGGAGGATCGGGGAGGGGGGAGGGGGAATCCCTGCACGGAGCCGTGACAGTCCCTCTGCAGGGATAGATCGAGAAGTGAGCGAGCGACGGTATGTGCTCGCTCACTTCCCAATCTACTGAGCTGACCCGTGACAGTTTCATTGTCACAGGTCGCCTCAGATTATGAGGCTGAGTGAAAATCACTTGCCTCAATTCTCCTTTAAGGCTTTCTCTATACTATAAAAAAAATACATGATTATATATATATATTTCTTTCTGTCTTTGTTTCTGTTAGAGATGTTCTTTCACTTGCTGTACTGTAGGGTGAAATTGCTGTCGCTGTGACATTAACTGATGGAGAAATCTTGTTAACAAAACCCACAAATAGCTTCCCAACTCTCTCAGAAACCAGAAAAAATATATAGTTTTAGTTAAGCATACATGTTAGCACGTAGAAAAAAAAAAAAAAACGTTTAATTGCAGTAGAGCAAACGTTAGCTGAAAGCACATAAAAACAGACCACTAACAAAAACTATACATACCCCGTTCTGTAAATGCTTGGTCTCCCCTGTCTTGAATGCGACTGAAAAGCTCTCCACCGTCAAGACTAAAACAAGAGCCAAGAGTTAACAAAATAGAGATTCTCAATAATAAAGCTCTATACACGTCTGAAAAAGTTACTGTATTCATGGGAGATTTTTGCCTAAACATAAGAAGTCCTTTAAATATGTATGTAATAAATATTATAAGTGAAGCTGGGCAAAATGAAACAACTTTCTAATAACATATTACTACAGTCAATTTGACCTAAATAAATAAATAAAATCACATTGTTTGGGTTCTGGGTATGTCTGTAAACATTCCATTAACCTGCACAATGTACAAAACAAACACATGACAAAAGATTTTGTTTTTTAATGCAATTCCTTTGAAACTACACAGTCGAGAAGTAGAGAAAAAAAAAAAAATCACAAAATCAGTACAAATTACAATACCCTAGGGATGTCCCGATACCACTTTAAGTCCAAATACAAGTATTTGCGGATACCAATTACCGATACTTTTTCTTAAAAGGGACATGTGACATTTTTCTAAAACAACACAGACTGATGATTTTAGGGCAGTTTCTCACCAGGGCTAAATACAGATGTCCCCACAGCACAACACATGTCCCTAAGGCAGAATGGTATTCTGCCTTAGGGACGTGTGTTCTGCGAATACATGTCCCCAAAGCAGAATTTCTCTCACCAGGCTCCTTGTCGATCTCACCTGGGCGACATTCATGTCCGGACCGGCGATGCTGGGACCCAGCCTCTTCTCCATCAGCCGACCATCTCCGCTGCTGGGCCCTCCGACCTCCATCCTTCTCCCGGCCCAGTCCTCCCCCGTCAGTGGGCGGCAGAAACCCCCAGCTTCTAGCCCTGAGGCAGCTGCTCCGGCTCTACCGCCAGTAGTTCTGCCCCAGGGGCTGTCCATGACTGTGCCTGCTCCAATAAGGAGGAGAAAGAACTGGACAAGCACTGCCATGGACAGCTATCTGCATGTCCCCAGCAGGCTGCCGAGGGCTCCACAAGCGCAGGAATTTGGACAGCCACTGCTGTTTACAAATATAAAAGGGCTGGTATCGGCCTTAAGAATCGGCGCATTTTCACAAGTACTCCTGAAAATTAGGGATGCACTGATACCGGTATTTTGGTACCGAGTACCGATAATTTTTTTCGGCACTCGCCGATACCAATTAACGGAAGTCCCATTTAGAAAGCCGGGCAGCGTGTAAAGACTCACCACCTGGCTTCCCGATTAACAAGAAAGCCCCCTCTTACCTTGGTATGTCCAGCCTGTCACCCCACCAGCGAGAACGCGGCCTTCCTCCGGTACCCAGCCGGAGCCGTCCAATCAGGAAGCCGGGCGCCGTGTAATGACGCGACTCCCTGTTTCTGATTGGCCGGGAAGCTGGCTTCATGCTCCCCCGTCATCTCAATACACCGCGCCCGGCTTCCCAATTGGCCGGCCAGACAGCTCCGGCAGGGTACGGGAGGAAGGCCACGTTCTGGCTGGAGAGGCCCCGGGGGTGACAGGCTGGACGTAAGGTAACCTTACCTCATGAAGACGAGTGAGCATGAAGCCAGCTTCCTGATTGGCCAGCTTCCCGACCAATCAAGAAGCCGTGCAGCTTGTCATTACACGCTGCCCGGCTTCCTGATTGGCCGGGAAGTCAGCTCCATGCTCTCTCATCACAAGTGAGAGAGCATGGAGGCGCTTCCCGGCCAATCGGGAAACCGGGCAGCGTGTTATGAAGCGCTGCCCGGCTTCCTGATACCGTAAGTACTCGAGCTAGGCATCGGAGCATTTGGGCGAGCATTTGGGCATCAGTGCAACCCTACCGAAAATGCCTCGTATCGGCCCCAATACCGATATTAGTATTGGTATCAGGACATACATACAATACCCTATTAGAATATCTGGAACACTATCTCTATATTTCATCGACCTTCAAAATTACATTTTTTTTTTTTCAGGCCCATCCACCAAAGACCTATATAACTTCACTACTGAATATCTGGAAATGTGAAACATGATAATACAGGCACTCTTCCATCAACATTTCTTTTAAAGCTAAACTGCAACTCAGGAAGAATTCGGCCTTCTAGCTTACCTTGTGCCAAAACATTTTTCATTACTTTTGGCAGTCCTTTTGTGGCTAGCTCCTGTCCCCCAAAGTCTTATCTGATGCATGTGTAATGCTTCCTGTTTGTGTGACCGGGCACCCTGGTGAAATCAACAGTTTGGCTCCCAGTCATGTTTGCTCCTCATTGTTGGTTTCCAGCAGAGCAATGACAAAAGCTGTGGGCACTTGTGATCTCCCCAGCACCCAGTCATGACCCACCCAGCTACTGCATGGCAGCTATGCTCCTCACTAGTCACGGAAACAAGGAGCAGCCCAGAGTTTCAACCATACATGTAACAATGGAAACATAGTGCTGAGCTACCCCGTCGGATGCGACGTGGGACTCAAAATCGGATCTACCCCTGGTGCCAGGAAACAGTGCATTTTCCCCCACAGAGAATAAATGATACCTCTCTCCACCAAGCCACCCCAGAATTCTATTTCAGGGCTTGTTCACACCAAATCCGGACCCGATCTGCATGAGTTTCTGCATAAGCAGTTCATTTTGATGCGTTTGACGTGTTTCAGTCCCTTTTTTTTTTTTTTTGCCTAAAATGGACCTTTGGGTGTAGTCCAGTGCTTTACAGGGCATTTGTATGCATTCGATGCATTTGCATGCGTTTTGGTGCGTTCCAGAGCAGAAAAAATAAGGCACGCTGCAGTTTTTCCACATGCTCAGGAACGGAACGCTGTGGTGTGAACTAAAGCACAAAATACCATAAAATGCATTGGATGAATTTTTGATTCGTTCTGTAACTGCTCTGCATCTGCTCCACACTTGGTGTGAACAAGCCCTCAGAGTCCCTTAACCCTTCTGCAGTTAAAAAGCACGTGACCGAAGTTTGGTAGAAGGGCCCTGCACTTCAAGCAGTGATAAATACTAACACCCTTCTATTCAGAGTATCTTGCTGTAGATATGAAGGTACTATTAATACACTTCAGTTATTCTCGGAGGTCAGATGCCACAATTGTTTTACATACCGGGTTTTTTTTTTATTATGACCTTTCACCAATAATCCCCCTAAATTTCACTGCACAGAGACAGCAGTCCTCCGCCTTTTACTATCTAGATTCTTTATTTATTTTTTTATGTTTAAGGCTAAATGTTAGATTGCATATCTTCTTAATCTCATTCAGTGAGACACCAAAACAGCAGTCTCCCACAAAGGCCATTTCAGTCAAAGTCTGGAAGATCTCCTGACCAGCACTGGGTTCACACCTTGGCGTTGCTATAGGCGAGTTTTAAGCACGTTTTTTAGTTCAGTGAAACACGCGTTGGACGCTCGTTTTTATACCTCCCTGGCGGTATGATTTTTCTTTCCTTTCTTTCCTTATTTTCTATCTTTTTTTCGGTTTTTTTTTTTTACCTTTCAAACTTTGCGGACACTGGCAAGGGACGGAACCTGGAAGACGGCAGCGGCCGGAGGACACAGCGGGGATCACGGACAAAGGTAAGACCTACGCTGTATTCCCGAGTGTGGCTCGGGGTTACCGATTTGTTAACCCCGAGCCACACTCGGGAATACCAATGGATACGCGCGGAAATACGCCCCAAAAGAAGCTCCTGTACTTGTTTGGGCGTAGGGTGTTTTTCAGGGCGTTTCTCCACGCTGAAATACCCCAGGTGGGAACCATGCCCATAGGAAGTGATGGTATTTCACTTGCTGAGCGTTTTTCAGCGCTTCGATCAGCGCTGAAAAACGCCCAGGTGTGAACCAGCACTTAAGAGTTGTCAAAGGACCACTCTGGAGGCAGACAGGCAAGAGACCAGCTGACTTGAATCCAAAGCTGCATCAAAAAGTACTTGAGGCCCTGAACCAGTTGCTTCGCTAATTCCATATACGAAGGAGGAACCTGTGCCGCTGCCAGTTCTTTAAAATTTCAGCCCACTCAGTCAACATCTGCGAAACCACAGCAAGTGACAGAACCGGCCTGATCAAGGCTCTAGGGACTACTACGTAGCTGGTGGTATTCTGCATTGCGCTGTATAGAGGACTACAAATCCCAGCAATAATACATTATACAGCACAATGTGGAATACCACCAGCTGTAGAGTACAACAAATCCCAGAAATAACACATTATACAGTGCAATGCAGAATACCACCAGCTATAGAGGAGCACAACAAATCCCAGCAATAATACATTATAGAGCAATGCCGAATATCACTAGCTATTGAGGACTACAAAACCCAGCAATAGTACATTATACAGCGCAATGCAGAATGCCACCAGCTATCATATATTATTGCTGGGATTTGTTGTGTTCCTATATAGCTGGTGGTATTCTGCATTGCGCTGTACAATATAGTATTGCTGGGATTTATTGTATTCCTCTATAGCTGGTGTTATTCTGTATTGTGCTGTATAATGTACTATTGCTGGGTTTTGTAGTCCTCTATAGCTGGTGCCATTCTGCATTTATTGCTGTATAATTTTACACTTTCCATTTCACTATATTGCACACCACACTTTTTTTTTCCTTTTTTACTTCCACCACTCCAAGCTTGCTCCTGTGATGGACTACAATAGCTGGTGTTATTCTGTATTGTGCTGTATAATGTACTATTGCTGGGTTTTGTAGTCCTCTATAGCTGGTGCCATTCTGCATTTATTGCTGTATAATTTTACACTTTCCATTTCACTATATTGCACACCACACTTTTTTTTTCCTTTTTTACTTCCACCACTCCAAGCTTGCTCCTGTGATGGACTACAATCTCAATACAAACTAGTAGTCCCATGACTGGAGCCATTTTACTTTTTATCCGATTAATCAAACTCAATAAATCGGCTAACTAATCGATTTTTAAAATAATCGTTAGCTGCAGCTCTAGACCAAACCTTTAGCAATGTGTTACATTTTCCAAATACACTGGCAATATTAGTGCTTTGATAAAAGCAGACTCACCACTCCATAATGATGAGCAGACATTTTCGAGACTGGTAGAGATTTTCGTAGACATCAATTATCTTTACAATATGTGCACACTGAGACGCTCTCCAATGCAGCTCAACTTCTCTGCGTGCTTTTGCACAGTCCTGCAGCATCTAGCACCAAGAAAGAAAAGAAAACACAGTTTTATTAATTTGCAAGACACACCATTTCATAACATTTTCCAATATATTTTTAGTCAAAATGTCAACTTTCGCAGTTTGTATGTTGATTCTGTCACATGTAGAAGAGTTGGGAAAGGCCCACTACCCCTCTGTGACCCCTTCTTGGTCATCATGATGCAAGGGTTGCACACCTCAAATCTACATTGCCCACACATTGTTCATTACACATGGACTACTACAGCTAGAAAATAGCCAGCTTCCTACAAATTGTCTGGCGACCTATCTAGTGCCTAATTATGCTTTATGTTGCAGAATATTTTTAGGAAAAAAGCATGCAGTTCCCATATTGCTCCCTGCACACATTGCATCAATCTTCTGCTGTTTAACACCTCTGCTTTTGGCTTGCTACTTTAGAGGACTTTAAAACTAAAAGGTTTTTTTATTTTAAAAAAGGAGAACTATGGGGTCAGTGTTTTCCCCATAGTTCTTCTAACGGTAACGGGAGGACACAAACTAGCGTCCTCCCGTCACCCAAAGCTCAGTATACTGCGAGCTACAGCTTGCGGTACACTGAGACGCCGCAGCCGGGATGGATCCCGACATTACCATCTGGATCCACCCAGCTGCGTGAGTGACAGCTGGCTCTGCCTATATAGAGGCAGAGCCAGCTATACCCGCCCCCTGCCCCGTCCGTTCTGCCAGTCAGAACTGGAGGATCGGACAGGGGAGGGGGGGGGGGGATCCCTGCATGGAGCCGTGAGTGACAGTCACGGCTCTCTGCGCAGATAGATCGAGAAGTTAGCAAGCGCCGGTATGTGTTCGCTCACTTCCAGATCTATTGAGCCGACCTGAGACAGTTTCATTGTCACTGGTCGGCTCAGATTATGAGGCCGAGTGAAAATCACTCGCCTCATAATTCTCCTTTAAAGTCTTAACAGGTTAGTTACTGGAGTATAAATAGGAATAAACAGGTAGGTTACTAAAGTACTCTTTAAATCTTTTTTTGGCCCATTTTGCCTGAGGAAAATAAGCTGCCAAAATATTATGCACACCCTGATATAGGGTGATGATCTCATTAGGCCACACCCTCCCTCGTTACACAAGTACACATCACCTCATATGCTTAAATCCAATAAGCCTTCAAGCTTATACAGCTTGGAGTGAGGACAATATGCATAAAAATGGTGATTTGGTCAACATACTCACTGCCTAATAATTATGCACACCGTATATAAAACCTTGAGTGTGATTTTTTTTTATGTCACACCTTCCTGAAAACTCACACACTAAAGAATTTTGTAAACAGGTATTCTTACATATTTTACATGCTTTAGGCAGGAGGGATTGGAGCATGGCAAAGAAAAAAAATATATAAAAAAAAAAGGTATTTTGATTGTAATTTTAGATCACCGGTAGGGTAATCTTGAGGGAAAATATGAATATACCTCTTGGATACATATAACAGATCCTCCAGTTAGCTGGAGTTTGATATAATTTGTTATCGTGTCCAAGTAAATTTGCTAGCGCATCTAATGGGTTACCATACATGTTACAATCAACTTTAGATTTACTTATACAAGGACCTACCTATACTATCCAACCAATTTGTATGCAATCATACAGGCCCTTGTACTACATAGTTTTTGGTAAATCAGATTGGAATGTGGGTGGTGAGCTTAAAGGTGCCCACACACCTTACAATCTGTAGATTTTCTGTGGTCAGATGGAAAAAGTGCAACAGATTAGCCCAGTGGGAGATTCCCCCATCCACACAGTTAAGTGTAGATGGAGGAATCTGCTGCACCTTTTCCCATCTGACCATAGAACATCTGCAGATAAATTGTAAGGTGTGTGGGCAGCTTTACACTACCCTCTCCACAGGTCGACAATGTTGCTGTCTTAAGGTGCCCATGCCCCTGCCGATTATCGTACGATAATTGCGGGTGATCCTGCTGGCTCCTGGACTGGGCAGATTGGCTCCTGAATTTGATCGCTTGTATATTAACGGGCATCGCTGCCTCTTTTCGAATAGCGGGGATTTCCCGCTCGCGCGCGCGCCCCAGCGGGCGGATGTAACTTGGCGTGTATACACGCCCAGTTACATCCAAGAAGCTACCGGCAGGCCGTGTATACACAGCGGCTGGGAGGGAGGTAGATAATGTGTCCACTCCTGGCCTAAAAGCAAAAAAACAGAGATAGAAGTTGCACGTTTTATGCTACATCATATTTGCGCAACGGTTTATCAACCCTATGTTTTCAAAAGAAAATAGATTAAAATCACTTTTAGTGCATATAAAAACACAATATAATCGCCATGATTTTGTAAAATATAAAAGCGTTTCAATTAAATAGATCTCCCTGCAGGACCCTATCTGAATGTTTAGAGATAATCAGGCGGCTTTTACAGCTCCCTTAAACACTTCAACATGCAAAACAGCCACAGATGAATTTGAGCTTGTTTTATTCCCTTGCCTGCCACTCTGTGTAGGATATGTCCTTGGCAGCCAAAGGGTAAATCCCAACTGTAGCCATTCTCCTTCTGAAGACTACAACAGCAGAGGAAGTGAAGCTGGGATGTCACATGACTTCACTGAAGACTACTGGATTCATAGTATTACTCAATTACACTAAAGTCTAAATTTTTTTTCTTCAAATGCTTAACTACCTTTACATTTGATATGGTTTTAGTCACAATCAAATCAAGTGCATACCTGTGTATATTGCATGAATTTCTAATTGGCAGTGTCATAGCTGTGGTTCTG